CATGGTGATTCTCTTGCCTCATTCCCAGGAGTGCTGGGATTAAAGACATATGCCACCACATCTGTCTATTTTCTCTTTAATTTTTATATCACAATTTAGAGAAGTACTCAGGTTTTGGAGCCATACACACCTGCACTTAAATGGTGGTGGTCCTGTTTTCTGTGGCACCATTGTCTTTTTTTGTCTCACTTTGCTTACCTGCACAACTAAGATGTTTGCATCTACTTCATTAAGTTTTAAGCAAATTATTTTACATAGTTCCTAGCATAGTAAATTGTAGTTGTTTCATTACTTAATACAAATGAAAAGAGTAAGTTGCAGATTTGAGTTAATGTGCAGGTTTAATCATTTTAGAAGGAAATTACACATAAAGCGGCAATAATTTGATCTTTTTTTTTAAATGTATATTTATTTATGTGGGGGGGCAGCTCTGCCCACCAGGGGGCAGGGCTGGCTGGCATGTGGTGCTGGGGGATTGAACCGCGGTCCCTATGCTTTGCTAAGCTTGTTCTAAGTAGGTGCTTTAGACCACTGAGCCATCTCACCAGCCCAATAATTTGATTCTTTAAATTCTTTTGTTTTGGGTTTTTGAGACTGGGTCTGTAATGTAGTTCACACCAGGCTTGAAATCTCAGTGATCCTTATTCCTTAGACATGTGCCACTATGACCAACAACAACAACAAAAAAAAAAATTGTTTTTTTGGTCTTTTTTGAGACAGGTTCTCACTATTCAGATCAGGCTGGCTTTGAGCTCACTTTGTAGCCTAGGCTAGTCTCGAACTCAATAATCCTCCTGCTACAGTCTCCCAAGTGCAGGGATAGCAGACATGTGCCACCATGCCCAGCATGCCCAGCATGCCCAGCAAACTTAAAAGTTTTATTTTTACTGCTTTTTTTTTTTTTTTTTCTGATTATAAGATTAGTAGCTCTACATTTAGACTGAGGTAGAGCACCTGAGAAAGGAACAAATTGAGGAGCACCCCCACTTCCTCTGACTTCTTGCCTTGGAAGAGGGTGAGGCCATGGCCCTGGATGGTAGAGAAGTTCTCCAAGGGTGCTGTATTGATGGAACTCACTGGGATGTTGTCTGCAAGTGGTGTAGCCTAAACGCACTCCTGGATGATCAGGGCCAAGAACTGCGATGCATCGTCTAGGACATCACACACAGATTTTCTGTGTCATTATTTCTCTAGCCTCATCATAGTAGCAGCTGGATGGGGCTTGGGAGGTTGGTGATTGTTGCTGGATATGCTGCACCACAGAATCAAGCCTGGAGGAGGCCCCTGGGACCTGGAGAAGCCCCTTTGCTCCTGAATTTCTCCAGTGCCCTCTGTTGACAAAGAACATTATGGTTGCTGACAAAGCAGTGTTCCAGTTTCAGAGGCAGGGTGGTAAATAAAGGCTGGACTGGAGCTGACAAGCCATGAATTGATAAGTGATTCAGTCATCATAGCATACCAAGGTTTTCTGTCTGTTTTGCTGAACTTTAGTCTCCAAGTTACTAATTAGGGGTGTCATACAAAAAAGGTTCAAGAATTAGGTAAGTTTAGGAATGACAGATGCTATCATCCATTCCTTAGAGATCCATAGCATATGTAAGCAATAAGAAATCCTACAATATAGGAAGCTATTTTAACTTTAGTTTTAGAAACTCTTTGAAGATGAGAATGCTATTACAACTGTTATTTGGAATGATTCTCTGAAATTTCTTGGCATTACATTAAGAAACTAAAAAATTGAGGTGTAATTTTTGGAAGAGAGGAGGCTATCATTTGTGGATGATACAAGAGTCAACAAAAAGTCCCAATTTTTTTTTTAATTCAATACTGGAGTGAAATTCAGTGGTATGGGGCTGGAGAGATGGCTCAGTGGTCTAAAGCAGCTACTTGGAACAAGCTTGGCAAAGCACAAGGACCGCGGTTCAATCCTTCAGCACCACATGCCAGCCAGCCTCGCCCCCTGGTGGGCTGAGCTGGCCACACACACACACACAATAAATAAATAAATAAACAATTAAAAAAAAAAAAAGAAATTCAGTGGTACAGTATAGGCTAGCATTTTTCAGGCCTTGAGTTTAATTCTGAGCATCATGAGAGGAAAAAAAAACAACTTGAAAATAATTTGAAGGGCCGGGGAGATGGCTCAGTGGAATAAGCGCTTCCCTGGCAAGTGCAAGGGCCTGAGTTCAATCCCCGGTTCCGAAAAAAAGAAAGAAAGAAAGAAAGAAAGAAAGAAAGAAAGAAAGAAAGAAAGAAAGAAAGAAATTGACTACTACAATAATTGAAGCAGGAGCTGATTTTAAAATAACCCTTAAAACTTTAACTTTCTATAGTGCTATGAATGACAATATAAAAATTATTACTAGAAGGAATCTTTTTCTATAATTGATGATAAAATATATAAAACACCTAGTAAGAAGTTTTAACAAGAAATGTACAAGACTTCTGGGAAAAAAGGGAGCCTCACTGAAACAATCTAGTAACAAAATAAAAGACTTGAGATAGAGGGGCCGGGGAGATGGCTCAGGTCTGAGTTCAATCCCAGTTCTGCCAAAAAAAATAAAGACTCAAAAAATAAAATAAAATAAAAAGTAAAAATAAAATGGACTCGATAGAACACAGGCTGATTCCTGAGTGGTACAGTTATGAAGATGAAGTTCATGAATGGAAGAATGCAGATGGCCAGAAAACACAGGAAGATGTTTATTTTCAGTAGTAAACTAACAATACAAGATTTTTTTCAAATATTAAATGACAAAGATTAAAAAGAACAATATTCATAATTGTCAGTTATACAGAAAAGTGGCCCTGTATGTTCCTGCGACTAAAAGTGAAGGTACTCGTTCTGGAGGGAGTTTTTGCAATATAAATAAAAGTCCTTAAGAATTTCCTTTTAACTATTTGACCTGCTAGAAATTTATATATTGAGGAGATGATCATAGATGACTGTAAGAATGGTTAGAAGTAACTGAAATCATTATTAAGTTTGTTGGATCCAGTATTGCACATTAAAAAGTAGTACATTCAAAAAGGGTATAAAAGCATGATATAATATTTTAGTATTGCCAGGCATGGTAGCAGATACCTGTAATCCCAGCAGTGTGGAAGGCTGAAGTGGGAAGATCAGTTTGGCATCAGCCTGGACAAGACTCTTGTACCAAAAAATAAAAATAGATGGAGATTTAGCTCAATGTGAAGGTTCCATCCCCAGGACTTCAAAAAACAAAACAAAATTCTAATATTAATGTAGGCTATAAAAAGTACATAGAGTTGGTGAAAAGTTGGTTCACTTTACTTTCTAAGTATTTACTACAGGGGCTGGTGAGATGGCTCAGTGGTCTAAAGCACCTACTTAGAACAAGCTTAGCAAAGCCCAGGGACCACGGTTCAATCCCCCAGCACCACATGCCAGCCAGCCCGCCCCCTGGTGGGCTGAGCTGGCCACACACACACACACAAATAAATAAAATTAAAAAAAAATAAAAATAAATAAATTTCTGCTTTAAGTATTTACTACAGCAAAATGAAGTACTACATGTAATGCACTTTTGAATAGCTTAAATATAGTTGAAACTAATTTTTTTTTTCTTGTTTGCTGGGATTGTAGTGTGTGTTGTATTATGTTGAAGACTGGTCCTGCTCTGTAGTTGAGGCTGGGCTTTTTTTTTTTTTTTTTTTTTTTTTTTTTGGCGTTTTTTTTTTTTTTTTTTTTTTTTTGCGGAACCGGGTATTGAACTCAGGCTCTTGTGCTTGCCAGGCAAGTGCTTATTCTGCTGAGCCATCTCCTTGGCCCCCAATGCTGACCTTGAACGATCCTCACAGTGGCAGTAATCGTTCTGCCCTGCTCAGTCTCCAGAGTGCTAGAATTACAGGGGTGTGCCACCACACCTGACATGAATTTTTAATAATTAAGAAAAGTATATAAATCCATAAGATGTATCATGGAAGGGCCGGGGAGATAGCTCAGTAGAATAAGCACTTGCCTGGCAAGCACAAGGGCTAGAGTTCAATCCCTGGTTATGCCAAAAAAAAAAAAAAAAAAAAAAGATGTGTCATGGAGGGCTAAGATAGCTTGGTGGTCAAAGCGCCTGCCTAACAAATACAAGGACCTGGGTTCAGTCCCTGGCCATGGGCCATGCCAACCCTGCACCTAGCTAGCCACTGATACAGGGTGTGATGGCACATGCCTGTAATCCCAGGGAGACTGAGACAAGAGGATCATTACAAGTCTGAGCTGCATAGCAAGACCCCGTACCAAGTAAATAAATAAAAGATTAAAAGAAAAACATATCTTGGAAAAGCAAAATCAGTAATGTTACAGGCTGTTGAGATTAAAATATATCAACTGGGATTCATTGGAGACTTGAGCAGAATAATTCAAGTAGAAGAGAGCTGAAAGTAAAAAAGCCAGATTGCCAGTAGTAAGTAAATAGGAGATAGGACTTCTACTCTAGATCAGCACTAGTGTGTAGAAATAAAATGTGAACCACATAGTAATAATAAATCATTTTTATAATGTATAAAATTGTTAGTGTAATAATCTGCATTTTATTTGTAACATTACAATTCGCATTAGTTATATTTCATGTATTCAATAGCAACATATGGTTGGTGGCTGCTATATCACCAATTTATAGACTATAGATTCCGGTTTTTTTGTTTGTTTTTTGGTGGAACTGGGGCTTGAACTCAGGCCCTTGTGCTTGCCAGGCAAGCACTTATTCTACCGAGCCATGTCCCCGGCCCCTAGATTTCCTTTTGAGAAAGGAAGGAGTAGTGTGAACATGCAATAATCACCTGTTCTTCTGCAGTCCAATTCAACCACAGACCTCTTTCCAGTGCAGCTTATTGTCTGTTAAAAAACGTTATTTATGTAATTCAAAAGAATAATAAAAATAAACTTAAAATACACGTATGTACCATTTTTGAAAAAGAGTATCCGGTGACTTTCCCATTTGCATTACCAAATTGGTATCATTTCTTTGTTTTTCCTTCTTCAGGTTTTGGTAAAACTAGCTTGAGCCGAAGAGGAAAAATAATGCCTGGGAAGAGACGTCCTTATGGAGTTATCACTGGCCTTGCAGCTAGAAAAGCAACTGGGATTCGAAAAGGAGTTAGTCCTATGAATCGTCCACCTCTAAGTGACAAGGTAGGATATGGTTCATTCATGGGTAGAGATCTTCTTCCTTACTTGTACTAAGATTTTTGTGAATAAACTTTATGGGATATTGTTGTGTAGCACTTGGGGTGTATGTAAACATTAAATAACTATAAAAAAAATTCCCATTCATGAAGATTACATGAATTTTCACTTTCCCAAATGCAGTCATTCCTCTGTATCTGGGTAGTTGGTTCCAAGATTTTTCTCAGCAAAATCTGCAGATGCTCAAGCCCCTTGTATAAGAACAGAGTGTTTTGTGTATAACTCATCTCTAGATTACCTAAAATACCTACTACAATGCAAATAATGTTTTACTACTGCACATTGTTTAGAGAGAGCAAGAGAAGTATGTATGTTAAGTAAACTTAAGATAAAACATTTATGTCACCACACATACGATTGTTATGTGCCAAATTACATGTGACAACAGAATCTAAAAGCAGCTTTCACCAAAGTTTGGAATAGTGAATTTTTTTTTTTTTCCTGTGTTCTTGATTTTTTTTTTTTTTTTCTTTCTTTGGTACCAAGGATCGAACTTAGGACTTTGTGCTTGCCAGGCAGGTGCTTATGCCACTGAGCTATATCTCTGGCCCCTTGATATTTTGTTGTCCTTGTTTTTGTATGTACTTCTTTTCTAAATGCTCATGAAACTGAAGACTTCTTTATTTTTACCTTATTTCATCAGTGGATATTTATGAGGCATTTCTCGTGTGCTTAATAGGAGACGCTAGATAAAGTGTAAGGTACAGTCAAGGACTTCAGAGATGTCTTCACAAATTAGGTTTTTAATAGTGGTTCAGTTTATATATGTAGATGAAGGAAAAGCACACATTTCATGTATTTCTGTGTTTATTGCAGTACTGGAGATTGAACCCAGGTCCTTGCTTAGACCCCCAAGCTATCTCCCTAGCCCTTCTTTTTTTTTTTTTTTTAACCCCTCTTTTTATTCCTTCAGATAAGGTCTTATCTGAAGACCTTTAGACCTGGCTAAATTGCTTAGGCTTGGCTCAAACTTTGTATTGTCTTGCCTCATCTTCCCAAAGTGCTGAAACTATGAGCATTGGGATTTTTTCTTTTTAATGCTGAAGTTTTCTTTTTCCTATTTCTATGCCAACTTTTTGTTTTGTTTTGTTTTTGTAGTGCTAGGGATCAAACCCAGGGCTTTGTGCATGCAAAACAAGCACTTTACCACTGAGCCACATCTGGAGCCCTCCAACTTTTTTGTTCTTACAACTTTCCTTGTATATTTTTTCAAGGAAAAAATTTTGTTCCATTTGTTTTGGAATTTGGCTCTCATATTTCCTCTCCCACCCACTTAGCATGTTTCTCATATTTCCTCTCCCACCCACTTTCTTTTTTACTGTAACAATATCTGAGAGAATTAATTTGTGAAAAACACAATTTATTTTTCCTCACTCTTTTAGAGGTACCAGTCTAAAATCTGGAGGGGTGCACATAGTTTTGGGTGTCTAGTAAGGTAAGCACATGCAGGTGAAGGTAGCAGAGCAAACTGCTTATCTCATGACCAGAAATAAAAGAAAGGAGAAGGGGCCAGGCTCCCCACAGTTCCTTTCAGGGGCACATCCCCACTGAACTAAAGACTTCTCATTAGGTTCTACCTTCTAAAGCTTTTATGATTTCCCAAAAGTGTTATCTTATGGACCAAGCCTTGAACACATGGACTTTGGGGAGAACACATAGGCCTTACCCAAACCATAGTACTTAGAATCATGTTTATGTAAATTATTTCATAATTCACATCTCTAGCACTCTGATTTTTTCCTTGAGTTCCTGATTCACATTTTGCATTATCTGTGAATAAACTGATCACCTCAGGTGTTTTAAGTATAATGCAGTTGTCTTTTCAGTTACTAAAGAAATTGACATGTCATTTTAGTTTCTGTCTCTCCTATACACATCCAAGTAATTGTTAGCATCTGTTCATTGTGCACCAGAAATGTTTATTGTAGTAGGATATATAACAAAAACAAGCTTAACCTATTTTTTTTTTATTTCTGAAAGAATATAGAACGATATTTTCCAGTGTTAAAAAGGAAAGCAAATCTTCTGAGGCAAAATGAAGTGCAAAGGAAACCAGCTACAGTTCTCAAGAGACCTAACCAGTTAAATAGAAAGTAAGTGCTCAAATAAAAAAAAAATACTTTATTTTTTGAGGCAGTGTCTAAATTGGCCAGGCTGGGCCCAAATTGGCAGTCCTACTGCCTCAGCTTCACAAGTAGCTGGGATTATAGGAATGTGCCACTGGCTTTATATAAATTTTTTTTGGCATCAGAGTCAAACCCACAACTTTGCACTTGCTAGGCAGGCTCTGTGTTGCTGAGCTATATCCCTGGCCCTAAGCTTTTTTTTTTTTTTTTTTTTTTTTTTTGCAGAACTGGGGATTGAACTCACACCCTTGCGCTTGCCAGGCAAGCACTTATGCTACTGAGCCATCTCCCCAGCTCCTAAACTTTTTTGAAGAGGCACCAGTCAGCTGCTGTACCTATCTCAAGAATAAAATTGCAGTGGGCCAGGGAGATATAGCTCAGTACAACTAGCACTTGCCTGGTAAGCACAAGGTCCTGAGTTCAGTCCCCGGTACTGCCAAAAAAACAAACAAACAAAAGAATAAAATTGCAAAATCCTAACACCTCAATCAGAATTACTCAAAATTCTGAAAGCTGAATTATTCAGTCTCAGTGGCTCTTAATTAAAACCCAGAATCACAATATAAGTTACCTGTGGAAAAAGCAAACTTGGAGACAGTTCTGCAGGAATGTTTCTTAAGCTGATATTATTTTATACTAAATTGAAAAACAATAAAATCCTAAAATTTAAGATCTGTTGTGCATTCCATTCTCTATATGGATAATATAGACAGAAAGGAAGCTGATAAGGTGTGAACTTACCTTATTTCACTTTCAAGTACCATTTATTCATCTCTTCCAGAATATGATCCATAATAAAACCTGGAACAAGGTATTTTTATAAATGAAATGACTAGAAGTGGAGTTTTACTTAACCATCATATTTGGATATCAGTTGAAAGTGCTTTAAAGGAGACCTTCTCAAATAGGAACTTACCATTTATGTGAGATTTGCGTGTTAACTGGGCAGGTAGGGGAAGTTTATATTTGAACCTCTGAGATTGGAAGTAAGATTAGGTAACCTATTAAGTACTTAAAACTATGTAGTAGATAAATACGATTTTTTTCTCATAGTTTACCAACTTTCTCTAGAAAATGAAAAGGAAGTGGTAAAAATCAAGTCAATGATAATTCTATGCATGAAAGAATAAAAGTTGAATGTTTCTTTGTGGTTTATATTTACATAAAGGTTTCTAAGTGAGGAAGGAGAGGTTAAAGAAAGAGGTTATTCAAATTTATATTTTTGTTTTCCATTTTGATTGTGAAAGTCCATGTGTATGAATTTTTTATAGTACTCTGTGGACAAATCTGTAAAGTTATGTTTTCTTTAGGAATAGGAAATACCATTAAAAATGTGAGTTTGTAAGTGTTATCAGAAGATATATATGGTGTATTAGAGTCAAATTGTATTTGGTATATAAATTAGTTTACAATTGTATGTGGTTATCTGCAGAGGGAGATATGGTAAATCAACTCTCAGTAGTTTCGTGTAAATAAGGAAACCATTAGAATAGAGTCTTTCTGGCAAACATAAGGTCCTGAGTTCAATCCCCAGTACCACAAAAAAGAATTGAGTCTTTCTGTTATGTGCTTATCAGGTTGTCAGCATGTGAATTTAACTAATTTTTCCTCAGGATATTTGACAGAAAAGTGACTGAGAATTCTTATGATATGTGTTTTTGTTGCAGAAATACCGTTCCAGCTAATTTTACCAGAAGTGGAAATAAATTAAGCCATCAGAAAGACACTCGTCAGGCAACTTTTCTTTTCCGAAGAGGCTTGAAGGTATTAAAAGCTTTGGTATCTCCTTCCCCACTCTGACCCAAAGAGGATTCTGAACAGCCACTTTTTAAGTAATACTCATAGGCTTGGCTCGTGGTTGAGGTAGAGATTTAAGTTTGGGATGTGGAAATGTGATTGGTTTTTTCTGTCCCAGTTTTTCTATTCATTGTTTTCCTTACTGTTAATCAATAGCAACTTTTTATAAGAATTTAATATTTCTTAGTAGTAAACTTGTATTTGATACTTGTTCTAATGCTCCTGTAGTAGAACCCCAATAGAGAGCTCTTGGGAGAACAACACACAGACCCCTCTCCTGCATGATAGGTTCTTGGATTCAAATCTTCTGCCTTTTATGGGATCTGCTTTTTTTCTCCCTTTAGGTTCAGGCCCAGTTGAACACAGAACAACTGCTAGATGATGTAGTAGCAAAGAGAACTCGTCAGTAAGTCAATTTGTTTTTTAAGATGTCATTTTAAAACTCAAGTCGGGTGTGCTGAGGCAAGAGGATTGCTGTGAGTTTGAGGCCAGTCTGGGTTACCATGTGAGCTCAAGGCTAGCCTGAAGTGCATAATGAGACCTTACCTCAAAAAGACAAAAAATAATAATAAAAAAAAAAAAAACAGAAAATATTAACCACCCAAATTAGCATGTGCTCTAGTCTGAAAGAAATTAAAAGACCCAAGATGAAATTAAATCCAAAATAAATTCTATTTTTGCTTTTGTTGTTTTTCCCCCAAAAAACCCTTTGACTTTTCACATGTTAGTATTAAGACATTTTTAGCACTAAATTACTGTATTTTCTAAGTACCTGTTTACTCCACTTTAATGAAAAAGCGTTTTTCTTTCTTCCTTTTCATTTTGTTTTTCCAGTGTCTGCTTCTATATACATTAACCCTTCCAGGGGATGAATAGAAGAAAATCCAGTAGCATTCTTAGAACATTTGTAAAACTTTAAAAATAACGAACCATTTTTTTCCTTTGGCATAATCTTTTCACCCCTGTGCTCCTATAAAAGTCTTTAAAAATCCATTTCTGTCATTATGTGAGTTGCAATGTTCTTAATTCCATCAGTGTGATCCAGTTTTAATTTTTTTAATCATCTACTTATTTATTTGATACAGGGTCTTGCTATGCAGCTCAGACTAGTAGTGATCTTCCTGTCTCAGCCTCCCCAATGTTGGGATTATAGGCGTGCACCACCACACCCGGCCTCGGTTGACCAACACAGCATGTGTAGGTTTCCAGGGTCTGCATGGTGTGCAGTACTGGGGATCAAACCTGCATCTTTGCATTTGCCAGGCAGGTGCTTAGACCATTGAGCTATCTCCCCAGCTCTGTGATTCAGTTTTGAGATTAAAGTTACGGCTGTTGTCTCAGTTGAGAAGGAAGGAGTACATTCATACGTGTGGTTCCCAGAGAAAGCATACAGAGGCAAACATCAGCAACGTAACAAGAAGCAAATAGAGTGAGAAGCCTGTATCTTTGTTAACTCTTTTTTTTTTTTTTTTTTTCCCCCATGTTCATTGCATTTACTCAGCTTATCCTCCAATCCCAAATACTCATCTGGCTTCAGGCCAACATGAGGTAAAATGGGCACATTTTGTGATAAATGTCCAATCAGCTGTCTTCTACAAGTAAGGTTTTCGGCCGGTTTTAAACAAGTTTGTTGAATGTCCAGATTAGCATCTGGAGTCCAAAGGAAAACATTTCCATATTGATTCCAAGATTTATATTGATACCATTTTGCCACCTCTTCATTACTTAGATTTCTCAAGCAAGTTTTATACTCTTCAGCTTGCTGGTTGTCCCAGGTCCTTCCTATATCAGTCATATTCATAAATGTTTCCCACATCACATCTCTGTACAGCTTCTTTTGGGATGAATTTAATAATGCCCACTCCTCCAAGGTGAATGTCACAGCAACATCCTCCAAGGAAACTGGCTCCATTGCATAGCTTGAGGGTCTCCCAGGATCCTTCCAATGCAGCTCTCAGCCAGCAGAAGTTATAGAGAAAGGCGATCTGGTCAGCTGGGTCCCCTCAGCCCCGCACTCTGCACTCACCACTGCGCCATGACACAGGAAGCTATTTGTTAACTCTTGTACATATCCTTATCACGTATTTATATTCATACAGTGAGGCTGGCCTCAATGGCACATGTGTGATTTTCTAAGGCTAAGTCATGGTTAAATTACTGTATCCCACCCTTCACCTGTGCTAGAAAGCAAGATAACACCCTCAAAGCTGTCCAGAAGCGTCTTTACATGTCCTGAGCTTTGAGCACTTCAGAGCAGTATACCACATGAATTTACTCCTTCAGCCTTCTCAACCCCAACAACTAAATTTTGGAAAACAAAATTTGGTCATGGTCCAGATACGATGCTAAATAAAATGGGCCATGATTTGAGAGTAAAGAAAAGGAACTACTGTGTTTGAACCTGATGCAAGCAGTAGTGTATAGCACAGAGGGTAGGACATTGGAAACCATAGGGAGAGAGTAACTGTAGGCTATTAGCTTCCTAAATGAACAGTATTTGCATGATAACAGTATTATAAATGTTGTTAATTTGTTTGAGATTTGAGAATTCTTGACCAGCACAAAGTAGTTAATTTATAGACAGTGTATAATGTGAATGTCAGATAAGGGCAAATATGAAGATAGAGCTGACAAATAGAAGACACAAAGTGGGGAGAAATGGTGGAAAAAACTACAGGACTATTACCCTCTCATACTAAGTAGAAGGGTATCAAAAGATAGCATTGGAAGAAATAGATTCAAATAAAATTACATGAAAGTAAAATATTGTAGCCATCAAAATGTTTAGAGTCAGTAAGGAAACTAGATGATGGTATGATGATCTTATTCATTATAGCAAGATTTTTCTAATAAGTGATTGTTTCGTGTTTTTTTTTAAGTAAGTGAAAAGTAACCAGCAAGCATTAAAAACAGGAAAGGTTAAGAAGTAGTGCCTCGGGCTGGCCAAATAGCTCAACAGATTAAAGCGCCTACTTAGGCAGATGCAAGGGCCAGGAGTTCAATATCCAGGCCTGCTGTATACCCCCCCTCAGGGGCATGCTGAGTTGGTGATTGAGACTGGGAGTGGTGGCATGCCTATAATCCTGGCACTTGGGAAGCTGTAAACAGGAGGATCACTATGAGTCTGATACACATAGTGAGACCCTGTAGACTCTAGACCCTGTACTAAGTATTAAAAAAAAAAAAAAATAGGGGGACAACCCTCTTGAGTCCCCCTCCTGTCCCTCTCTTGGACAGGAGCTTTCTTTCCCTCAATCAGTATATTCTGCTCATGAAAAAAAAAAAAAGTAGTGCCTCTGTGGAGTGGAAATGGGAAGGAGATTAGTGAGGTGAAAGACTGTTAGGTTTTATTAGAATCCCTTTTGTATTTTATTTTTATTATACTGAAAAAAAAATTTAAGTGCTCAGTTTCTAAAACACAGTATGCCTCATAGTGAAGTCCAGCTATCAGCAATATTTCATAAAAGCTAAGAAAAAGTAAGGTCAGTTTCCTGAATGTGCATTTTAGGGCTGGGGTCATAGCTCAGTGGAAAGAATGCTTGATTACCATGTGTGAAGCCCTGGGTTCAATACCCAGCACCAAAATAAACGTAATCAGGATATTTTTATGTGGGTTATAGTATACAGCTTATAAACTCCCATTGTAATGAGATTTTTGCTGTTTTGAAACTAGATGGCGTACTTCCACCACAAATGGAGGAATTTTGACTGTGTCCATTGACAATCCTGGAGCTGTGCAATGTCCAGTGTAAGGCTTTCTTTCTTTTTTTCTTTTTCTTTTTTGAAAATTGTAACCTCTTCATATATGAGATCCTTGGACTTGTACTCATAATTTGATGTAAGTTAATTGTATTTTAAGTGAGGGGGGCTATTTTTAAGGGGACTGATAGCAATTTCTTTTACTCTAATAACTAATTTTTAAAAAGCATACAGTGAGATGCAAGGATAAAAGTAATATTCGTGATACAAATGGGAAATAAGATAAATTTAAAAGTTTCCCTTGATTGCTGACCCAATGAAGGAAGACTTTAAAACTCCCTTTTAACAGATTCTTTTATATATTCAAGAAAATACTGGGCCAGGGAGATAGCTCAGTGGTATAAGTGCCTGCCTGGCAAGTTTAAGGTCCTGAGTTTGATCTTCAGTACCGCAAAAAAAGAGAGAGAGAGGGAGGGAGGGAAATACTGTGCAAATGTAACAATTGTACATTTTTATATATGTATGATAAATTATATCATACTTACATAATATTTTTTCTTCCTTTCACCCTGGTATATTTTGGACATCTTGTCAGATCATACAGAGCTTCTCTTTAAAGACCTCTTTGTGTATTTTCTTAACTAGAAGATTTAGCAAGGATTACTCTTATATTACATTTATTGTATTATAGACATTCTAAATTTACGGAGTTTCTGATCTATCTAGGTATCTTAATGATTTACGTTAAAAGTAGTATAGTGTAGATCTCTAAGACTTTATAGGTTATTTTAGAAAACCAAGACTTGGAAATCACCAAAATAGTTAAAATGTTTTAGTTGTAATTACAGGTATTCCATGAATAATTGCACATTTAATAGTCAAGAGCCAGGCTTATTTATTTATTTATTTATTTATTTATTTATTTTTCTGTATTTAGTCCTGGGTCTACAAGGTCTCACTATGTAGATTGGGCTTGTAGTGATTCTCCTGTTTTCAGCCTGCCAAGTGCTGGGATTACAGGCACGTGCCACCACTCCCAGTCTCAATCACCATCTCAGTATGCCCTGCACATGAGGCTGGCAGTTATGCCAGGGATCAAACCCTGGCTGCTGTGCTCTGCCTAAGCAGGCACTTTAAGTCAGCTGAACTGTCAGGTCGGCCTCTTTTTTTTTTTTTTTTTTTTTTTTAAAGAACACAGTAAAATAGCTCTAATACATTTGAATACATAAACTAGTCAGGACTTTTAAAAGGCATTTTAGAACCAAGTGATTTTTTTTGTGTGTGTGTTATGCTAATTATTTTTTATTTTTTTTTTTTCCGGAACCGGGGATTGAACTTAGGTCCTTGAGCTTGCCAGGGAAGCGCTTATTCCACTAAGCCATCTCCCTAGCCCCAATGCTAATTTAATTCTTTTTTTTTTTCTGATAGAACTCAGAAACCACGATTAGCTCGTACTGCTGTACCCTCATTCTTGACAAAACGAGAACCATCTGATGTAAAGAAAGTTCCTGAAGGTGTTCCTTTACAATTTGATATAAATAGTGTTGGGAAACAGGTAAAAAGTTGTTTCTGTATTTTGGGGGGGGCATTCACTGATAATATTGTAATAAAAATATTTTAGTATTTATTATTTAATAAATTAATAAAATATTGTTGTATAGCAAATTAAAGTGTTCTAACCCCTTAATGTTAGGTAGCCACTAATCTACTTTCTGTTCTATAGACTGCCTATTTTGACATTTTATGTAAATTGGATCATATAATCTGTGACTAGTCATAATGTCATTATATGACATTCATATAATGAATGTGACTTTCATTTACCATAATGTTTTTAAGGTTCATCTATGTTGTATGGTACTTCTCTTTTTTTATTTTTTTTATTTTAGTAGTACTTCATTTTTGAACAATATTCAGCATATTCATACATTTTCTGTTCGTGAGTGGTATTAGGAATTGAATTTAGGGCCTGGTGCATACTAGGTAAATGCCCCTCAACTGAGCTGGAGCTTCAGCCTTTTAAGGGTCTCACTGTGGTGTCCAGACTGACCTCAAAAATATGTTACCTTGGGGCCAGGGAAATGGCTCGGTAGAATAAGTGCTTGCCTGGCAAGCACAAGTACCTGAGTTCAAAACCCCAGTTCCACCAAAAAAAAAAAAAAAAATGTTATCTTTTTGCTTCAGCCTCCCAAGCTGCTGAGACTAGTATGCCACCATACCAAACTTTATATACAGCATCCTATTATTATTCATTCATTCATTATTTGGTAGACATTTGGGTTGTTTTTATCTTTAGCCAGAGAATACTGATTCTTTGGACATTTGTGGACAAGTTGTTATGTGAATACTTTTTTTTTTTTAACACTTTTTCATTTCTTCTTAGTAAATACTAAAGTAGATGGGTAAATTTTATGGTAACACCATGCTTAATTAACCTTTTTAGAAACAGCCAGACTTTTCAAAAAAAAGTAAGTATGCTTGTTTTACTTACTTTCCTTGTTGCTTTGAAAAAATACCCAACAATCACAAGTTAAGGGAGGCAACATTTATTTAACTCACAATTTCTAGAGGTTTCAGTTCATAGTTGGCCAACTCCAAGGCATGGCAGGTGGCAGTACAGATGAGAAACAGTTCATTGCAGGCAGAAGGCAGCAAATGATGAGAGACAAGACTCCATCTCTAGCACACATCTATAACAATGCTGTTTTACATTCCCACCAGTATATATGAGGTTTCTAAATTTCTTCATATTCTTGCCAACATTTATTATATGTAGTTTAACTGTGGCCATACAATTCAATGTGAAGTGGTATCTCACTGGGGTTTTAAGTTTTTGGATTAAACTCATACATGTTATCTTGCTGAATTCGTTTTAGATTATCTGTGTACACTCATGTCGTTCTTCAAATGCCTTGCAATTTTAAAAGCTTTTCTTTTTCTTTATTAGATAAATTAGGACCTCCAGTATAATGTTGAAAAGAATAGCAAGATGCTGTTTGTTTGATGGCTTGTTCTAGAACCTAAGGAGAAAATGTCTCACTATTAAATTTAATGTTAGCTATAAGTTTTTCAGAGATACCCTTTTTCAAATTGAGGGTGTTGGGCCTGCCAGCAAGCACAGGGTTTTGAGTTCAATCCCCGGTACCGCAAAAAACAAACAAAAAAAATCAAATTGTGGGTGTTCTCATTTTTCTTAATTTGCTGAGAATCTTTAGCATGAGGGAGTTTTGGATTTCATAATCTCTGTTGGTATCCATTGAATGTGGGATTGTATGCCGGCCCTACCCCAGGGCACACTGAGATGGCCACTAAGACTGGGCGTGGTAGCACATGCGTGTAATCCCAGCACTTGGGAGGCTGAAAATAGGAGAATCACTATGGATCCAGTCTACGTAGTGAGACACTGTAAGTCCTGTAGACCCTGTACTAAATATGTTAAAAAAAAATGTGTAATTGAAAGGAGGAAGTATAGGCACAGATTTAGTCATAGTTGATGTGATACAGTGCTGTGAAAGGCCCTGGATATAATCAGTAGCATGGGTGCACAAACAAATTAGACAAACTTATGTTGCCTATTTTATTTTGTTGCTATAATTCTTTTGTCATTGTGAGAGTGCTATTAGTTTTTCATCAGAAACAATTTTCAGGGCCCGGGCAGATAGCTCAGGAGAATAAGTGCTTGCCTGGCAAGCACAGGGTCCTGAGTTCAATCCCCGGTACTGCGCTGGGATTATAGGTGCAAACCACTACACCAGTCTCAGTGTGCCCCAAGGGCAGGGTCTGCATGCCGGGGATTGAACCTGGCCCCTGCTCCTGTCTAAGCAGGTGCTTTAATCCTCTGAGCCATCTGGCCAGCCTGATTTTCATATTTCTGTAGTGAGCTCAGAAATTTGTTTAAAAATACTTCCAAATTAACATTTTTTTTTTTCTGGTAGTACTAGAAATTGAACCTAGGGTCTTCTCCATGTGAGGCAAGCTCTCTACTGTTGAGAGGCAGGGATTATGAGTCAAGAGCTTCCAGTAGGCAACTTCATGAACTTCTTTAAACCTCTTTAACTTCTATTTTAAATGCTTTTTGTTAGGTTCTAATGAGATTCATGTAAGTATTTAGGATATGTTAGCTATTGTCATTGTTAATTACTATTAAGTGTTGCAAAGCAAATACGGCTTTCTGTCAAGTTGTTAACTTTTTTTCCTTCCCCCTTTTCTATAGACAGGGATGACTTTGAATGAACGGTTTGGAATCCTGAAGGAACAAAGAGCCACTCTCACATACAACAAAGGAGGAAGCCGCTTTGTCACTGTGGGATAGAGCCCATGTCAAAAGAACTTTTGAGTGATGACTCTGTTTGAAAACTTGAGTTGCTTGAAGAGTTCATCACAGAAATTCAAGAAACTTTACCTTAAAATATTCACAAAGCTAAATAACTCTTATTTTTGAAGTGTTTTTTTTTTTGTTGTTGTTGTTTCTTCTTCTTTTTTTTTTAATGTATAAAATAATGCCCTGAAAGGTAACAGGGAATATAGCTATCTGTTCTTAAAGATTGCATGGTTGGCCCAGACAGAACAATTTTCTGTTGACTTTCTTGGTTCCTCATGCAGCAGATGAAAGACAGAAAGAAAGCGATTATTTTTATGATAGTAATATTTAGGATCTTATCACCTCTGCCCACTTAGACTTGGCCATGGTAAAACTTTGTCCTCTGTACTATGAGTAGATCCCTTTGTTGTTGTCACCCTTTAAGAGTGTTGATGTAATAAGTGCAGTTGCCTTTTTTCCATTACACATATTTTTAGAAACCTTATGAGAATTCTAGTTTTGGCTTTTAAGATTTTTGGAACTATCTGGAACTTAGTTCATTTTTCAGGTGGCATTAAGTTAGACCCATAGAGTTGAGTGCTGAACTTCTAATAAGAAATGTGGTTCTTGGCATTAGTCTTGGTTTAAAATATTGATGTCTGAAGGCTGTAAATGCATGCTTACAGAATTATGTGATAAGACACTGGAAAAGGTCTGGTGTAAAAAGTTGACAGTTTGTATTGAGTAATGAAGAAAGCATGCAAAGAGGGAGCAAGTTGAAGGACCAGAAACTTAGGTGAAAAGCTTCCATACCCAGGTCATAGGTACACTCTGGATATAGTATAGTCTTGAGTCTGGTGTCTGCAGATTCTTCTGCACTTGACTATTAGAATTTTAGTTTTAAAAATCCCTTAGATATTTTGATAGTAAAATTAATAGCCTTATAGTCCTACACTTCTTACTCAAAATTAAAATTTATAAGCTTGCTAAAGTGATATATAGCTCCAGAAAGAAAATGTTACAGAGAAAAAAATGTGTAAAATTATAATAGCATATGTTTTTGTATGATATAAAATTCAAGCATTTAGGGGGAAAAAGCTTTTCCTGTACTCTGGAGATATGGGGAGGAATTAGTCTTTTGTGCCAAGATAGTGCTAAGAGTCTTCAGAACCTATGTACTACAAATTACAGTAAAATGCCAAAATACAGCAAAATATTCCATCTGAAAATTAACAAGTTTGGTCATTTTGAGGCTTGACTTTTTGTTTTACTATAATGTTCAAACTTCTAAATAGGTGTCATTTCTCTGGCTTACATTATTAGTGTTGACTTTTCCTATAAAACAAAACATTATCACTCCTGCCTACCTTACATTGTATACTAGACTTTATTTTTATGTTCTTTGGATTACTTACTGGTTTATGCTAGCCATGGGCAGCTATCAGTAACAATTTCATGCTTATACCAAAGAAATCTGATCCTTAATATCTGATATTTTGCCAGTACTTTACTTGATAAGGGATTATTGGAACCAGGCACAGAATTTGAAAATAAACAGTAGCTCTTCTTAGCAATTTAAATCTTTTCATGGAGGCCAAGGACTCATTGCAAAACATTTTTGCAAATTTGAATACTTAATATTGGATCCAAGAACAATACATTTTAGATGGGCTGGAATTGTTGGTAGCTTACTTTAAAGCAAAGAAAACAACTGAGCATGAGTTTGCTGTCTTTAGAACAATTTTTGGAAATATAGTATAAAAGGGTTCTCATTTTTTTATTTTAATTATACAGCAATGTTGTTAATGTTTTTGTAATACCTTACATTTTGCCCCAAATGTTGACATTAAGAGCATCAAACAATGTGTCTTTGGTATATTAAACTTTTGCAATTCATGCATCTGTAATTTAATTTTCTCTTAACGTAAATTTTGCCTTTGGTACAACTAAATTAAAACTCTTTTGAGTGCTAACATGTTGTATATAAACAAACAATATGCTTTGTTGGGGGGATACTTCCTATCTTGGAATGTGGTTGTAGTCATTGTTGTTCAGTTCTGAAAATTTTTTTTCTTAAACAGGATGCAACTTAAAATTTTCTTTGCATCAAGGTATATGCAGAACATTGATGCAGTGCATCACAAAATGAAAGTTTGTATTTAACAAAGAGGTACTTTACACTGTACTTTTTGGTGTTTTTTGGAAAAGTTACATTTAGCTCTATTCTGAAGCTGTTCATTTTTAACAAATAAAATGTAACAGGTTTCACATGATATTCTTAGCTATAAAGATTGAGTTGTGGTTTTTAAATTGTTCTGTTGTTACAAAGAGCTTTGCAGTGATTGTTCATATTTTTTAGGGTTTGAAGTTTCCTACCAGTTCAGTTGGCAAAACAACCTAGCCTTCTGTCACCATCCTTCTGTTGACCACTGTATTTGTAGTTTCAAAAGGAGGTATTGAGAAATAATTAAAGATGAGAATCATATTCTTTAACAGTGGAGAACATTAGGATAAATGAACGTTCAGATATCCCAACTAACCCCATTTTTTTGGTTTTTGGTAAAGCGAGACACAACATTTTCCGTAACTGGTCTGTGGCAGTCATGGGTTAAGCCTCACATCTTATAATTGTTAGATGATAATAAATTGCTTCTGTGAACACCTACAGGAAGTAGTGGGAAAGTGTGGCCTTGTCACATATCTAAGAATTAATAATTAGCTATACTTCAGTGTTTGTAACCTGCAAAGTAAACCTGCTCTGTCAATGAGTGATGCTTCATTACTTTGGTATTTAAGACTAGAAATATGCATTATATATAGTCAGACTTTTTTTTTTACACTAGCATAAACTTTTCACCATAATTTACTTATAAGGACATCATAAAATATTTAAGTATTTTTTTAATGTATTTAGTACAGGGTCTATAGGGTCTCACTACACAAATTGACCTCATAGTGATCCTCTTGTTTTTAGTCTCCCAAGCGATGGGATTATAGGCGTGCGCCTGCCACATCCAGTCTCAATCACTGGTTCAGTGTACCCTGGGGATGGGGCCGGCACGGCACACCAGGGATGGAATCCTGGCCGCTGCGCTGTGTTCAAGAAATTTTAACCCAATAGCTCAGGAGGCTTCCAAGTTTAACCCAGCCTGGGCAACACAGTGAGACTTTTATCTCAAAAGTTGGACATATAAAGGCTCAGTGGCTTAAGTGCCTGCCTGGCAAGCACAAGGTCCTGAGTTCAATCCCCGCTACCAAAAAAAAACAAAGTGGGATATATAGCTCAGTGCAAAGGCTCTCAGTTCAATCCCCAGTACCACAAAACTGTTACAAGCTTCATTGCCCATTGTGTAGTTTTTGTTAGAATAGATATGTATATCATATTGCTGCCAGTAGCTTTGTAATTCACATAGCATATACAAAATCAGGGTAATTTTTTGTCTGATCTGTTTTTACAATAAAGAGATAAGAGAGACTGCGTACAATAGTACACAGCTATAATCGCAACACTCTGGGAGGTCAAGGGAGGAGGATGTTTAGTTCAAGCCTATGGTGGTTTTTCAGATAGCAATACCCTTTCTCAGAAAGTCATAAAAGCCTAGAGATGTATTTCAGGGCAAATTGCTGGGTTCAATCCCTAGTACCAGGCAGTCAACATGAGGGAGTAAAGTAGCTCACTTGGCTACTACTACAGTGAAAGTTTCATACACTTCAGATGCAGGCAATATTTCTAGGACCAGAGTGATAGCTCAGAGGCATAAACACCTGCCTGGCAAGCACAAGGACCCGAGTTTGATCCCTGGCCCCACATGCCATGCGGTCTCAGCCCTAGTTGCAGGCGCCTAACATGCGGCCTTGAAACTGGGTACACACCTGTAATCCCAGCACTTGGCAGATAGAGCCAGAAGGATCTCAGTGAGTTCAAGACTAGCTTGGGGGGTGGCGGGGAGATGGCTCAGTAAAATAAGTGCTTCCCTGGCAAGTGCAAGGGTCTGAGTTCAATCCCTGGTTCCACAAAAAAAAAAAAAAAAAAAAAAGACTAGCTTGGGGACTACAGAAGTGAGCACAAGGCCAGCCCAAACTTCATAGTGAGACCCAGTCTCAAAAAAAAAAAAAAAAATTCTGATTAATAGCTTTTTTAAACTTTCATCAGGATTATATGATTGATTGATTGATTGATTGATTGATTGATTGATTGATTTGGCGGAACCGGGGATTGAACTCAGATCCTTGCGTTTGCCAGTCAAGCACTTATCCTACTGAGCCATCTCCCCGGCCCCTATATGACTTTTTTAAACTGCTATTTAAAAATTAAGCCTGTGTCCCTTTAAAGAATTCTTTTAGGATATAGTATGTCTTCAGTTTAGAAACAAGTTCCATTCCAGGAGAACATAAGTTGGATCCAACTGTAGATCTGACAACTTAAGTCTTATACTGTATTTTCAATTTTTTCCCCTAGTTACTGCTTTGTGCTTCCCAGCAATCTCATCACCACTGCTTTTCCTCTTGCTTCCAGACATTTGGTCTCTATTGAGCAATATACTACTGAATTCTTATCATACTATACAGTAAGCGCACAGCAGCACAGCTTTGACAATCTCCAGCAGACACGTGAGATACTTCTGTGATTTGTTTGCATTTATGCATGTTTGTAATGCAAAGTCTACTCATATCTCTATTTGCAGCTGGACTGTTCATACATCAGAGACTTAATCATACATCAGCTTGAAGTTGGTCTTTTTTAAAAAATGACACAAGTGAACTTTAGTCATTTGTGACAAGAATTTTGGACTACTGTGGACCATTAATAGGAATTTAAACATTCGCTTGGAAATTAGGATTGTAATGTCTATTTCTCCTTTTCCTTTAAAAAATTTTTTTTTCCTTTCCCTCTTTTATACTTGAAATTATTCATCAAACTTGATAAAGCGCTATGTAATGCCATTTTGGGTTTGTTCTGAGTGTACGCAGATAAGATATAGTATTTAAAGATGAATAAGGGGCTGGTGAGATGGCTCAGTGGTCTAAAGCACCTCTTTAGAACAAGCTAAGCTGAGCAAAAGCAGAGACCGCAGTTCAATCCCCAGCACCACATGCCAGCCAGCCCCGCCCCCTGGTGGGCTGAACTGGCCACACACACACACACAAACACACACACACACACACACGAAATAAATTTAAAAAAAGTAAAGATGAATAAGATGTGGTTTATAGTGTTTAGTTTCTACCTAATTTTTTTTGTTTTGTTTTGAAGAGAGGGTCTTGCTATGCAGTTCAGGCTTGCCTTGAGCTCACATTGTAACACAAGCTGATCTCAAACTCACAACAATCCTCCTGCCTCAGCCTCCCAGGTTCTGGGAGTATAAGTGTGTGCCACAATGGCAACTATTTCTTTTTTTCTTTTTTTTGGCGGAACCGGGAATTGAACTTAGGCCCCTGCACTTGCCAGAGAAGCACTTATTCCCCTGAGCCATCTCCCCGGCCCCAGTGGCAACTATTTCTATACCTTGTTTATTTGTTTTCTTCTCATACAATCACATTGAATTTTCAAAGTTTTAAAAAGTCACTTATTAGAACTGCATATTAAAGGATTAAGAAAGGAAAGGATCATTTATTGAACTTAACACTGAAAGAAGATGAGATTCAGCATGACTAAGGCTTTGAGTTTTTGGACATGGAGTCTTATAAAGGACCATAATATATCTTTAATGAGTAGAAGCTGTGCAGAGGACTTTGCTTCTGTCCGATATAGTAAGATGAGCTACTGAGATTTGAGTGAAGTTTTTGCCCCTGCTATTGGATGAGATAATTTAGCCTATATTAAATAGGAGGAACAAGGACTAAACAGCCCCCCTTATTTTTCAATTTCCCTAGAACAATAATGGGATAAACTATAGATCTCTACAACCCTTTTGTTCACAGCCTTTTTACATATGTCTCTCATCATTTTGTTTTATTCACTGCTAGACTTTGACACAAAAGCTCCATT